CCCGCTTCCAATAACTACGTGTTATACCCCATATTTTGATTATGACTTGATTAACATCATCTTCAAGGTTTAACAAAGAAACAACAACCTAAAATTCTCAATATGGGCAACCATATAAAATAACATTGTGATTCCAAGGGAGATAGCTTACATTTCATTTTCCTTGAGCTGAGAAAGACATTCAGTTTTCTGTTCATCCAGCTTGTTACTTACATCCTGGAATCATCAGCACAGAAATACTCATTGCCTAAACAAAACGCTTAGTGCCAAATTATGCATGTTACACATGCGAAGTAATGCATGCCTGATTGCACAAGAATAGAAAATTTGAGCCATTAAACGAACACTAGAAAACTACGAAAAGCTGAGGGTGTCAAAAGATATAACTCGCAAGCAACATGAGAATATAACTTGTAAGAAATACTAGAATAGAAAAGGATGAGCACAAACGTGGCCTTCTCACGTATAAATCTCGGAGACATAGTTCTTGGGATCAAACCAAGGATGAAAGCTCCCTACCTTGGGAGTGCTTGGGGAGCATCGTTTAGGCAGCCATTTGGTAGTGGCCTATGATATATGACTATGTGACCATAGTTAGCATTGTCTTAAATCCATATCCATTAAAAAAGACAAAGTAATTACGTTGTAAGATCATGTTTTATATATTTTTCAGATAGAAAAGAGAAACTTTTACCAAATGGGTCTTGCACCTTTAGAATTTATCATGCGATCCCAAGAAGTTGGGATCCAGCTCCCCAACATGTTGGAATCGAGATAGTTCCCTAAAATTTAGGGCAGACAATGATCCCAACCATAAGGAATTCCCAGCCTATCAAGGTCCCACTTTCCAATCCCACCCCCAATCCCAACAACTATGTATGGGCACCTATAGATAGACATTTAAAAAACTGAGAAATGTATAATCGACTCTTTAGCATAATACACACAGACAAACGATAACAAAACTTAATTTTAACCTAGACAACTATAGATTTTCATTTACGTGGATTTGGTGCATATCCATGGAGAAAAAAAAAAGAAAAAAACTAGGATGTTGACGAATCGATCAAATCAGCTCACCAATTATGGGCAATTCATCCAATATGATGGAAATAATCATGGGAAAAAAAATCGACCTACCATTTAGGGATTGACCGAGTCTCCATTGTGAACTGCCCATTTCTTGACAATGCAAGTGATGGTTCAAAACCATCCAAGAACGATGGCTCTATGGTCACCAGTCTTCAACAACTAATGCAAACCATGACCATGAAAATGGAAAGCAAAATATTGTTGATAGGTAATCGTCAGCTAGAAAGTTATCAAGAAATGAAATAATTAGCACGAAATCAACGACACTGAGTTCAGAATCAGAAAACTTTTAAAACTCCCCCTGAGATCAAAATACCGTCAAACCAGGATTGTAACCCCATTTTCAGTGGAGTAGGGATCCCCCTACCAGTGGGATGAAGATCCTTTTAGTCAAGGATCATTATCCCTTTCAATTCGAGACCATGACACTTCTAAGATGAGAATCAAGATCCCATAAGATCGCCAGAGCGAGATCTAAGTGTTAGAAACTTAAATTTCAATTTATTTATTTTTTTTAGTAATCAACTAATTCTTCAGTGGCGCCCAAATTTTCAAATTGAAAAACTTCTCCCAAGTAGGTTTTTTGACCAAGGGAGTGGAAGTAAACTATGCTTCTGAGGGCGCATGGTATGTGTGCTCTTGTTATAAACCATAAACACATGACACAACACTCTCATTGCCTCGCTCTCACATATCAAACCTCCTGTGACACCCTCTCACTTTTTCCCATCCTCTACACATTCTCTCTACCTCATCCTCATTTTCCCTCTCCATCCCATTCTTCAAGCTCTCCTTCTTGAATCAATAGAGAGAGAGGACTAACTGGTTTGGTAGGTCGAGAAGGAGAGAGAGGGAAGGGGTAGAGAGAGCGGTTTCAACGGTTATGAGTTTGTATATGTTTTTTTGGGATATGGCTTAAAGGTGGAATAGAATAAATAAGAGGTTTAAAACAGTAATTTGGATAGTGAAAAAATGAGAGAGGCCATCTAATGTCTTATTGATCCATGGGTTTTACATGGACCCGAGGTTGTACACGGGATGACAGTCCACCATAGGGGGGTGGGCCTTTCCCTATTAATTAATCAATCTAACATGTCAAAATAATATAAACATGAACCAGGTCATGTCATCCTAAAATAGGGAGAAAGTTCTGTTCAACAAAAATCATGACTAATAAGTCGTTGGTACACCACAACTTGTGTTTCAGGCTAGACCCAATTGTCACAAAATGTATTAGTCATTTAAATGACATAAAGTTTTGGCTTAAGCTAATTTTTTTCCTCTCTATTTCCATGAATGACAAGTCACAATCCCTTATAATCATTGCAAGTTGGAGCCGTTAGAGAGCGAAAAGGTAACTGGTTTGAAGTGGTGATTGGACTTTAGAGAAATAAGGAAGCTATAAGCTAGATATTTTCCCACATTAGACTTCGAGAAAAACATGGACCAACAGCAGGATTTATCCTGTTATATGGAAAATATCTCACTCTGATACAGTAGTGATGTGTATTCGAAAGGAAAAGCTCACTAAAAATCTATTTTTGCACCATTTATCACATGTATGGGCATAAATAAGCACCTGCTGCTTTTGTGAAAACCACAGAGAGATTTCCATCATTATACATGTAGCAGACCTTGAGAATTGAAACTGAACCAATTAAACATTTTCAACAGATCTTTCCTTGAGAAAGTCAAGATTTGGATTGACAAAAATAAACATGTTACATAGGTTTTAGGAAGAAGACAAGCGAGAGCTACATCAAACCTACTTCCACACTTTCCAGGAATTCTAAGGTGATATTTCCATTGAAGGCATATAGAACAACCATCCTTTTCTGAGAAATTTATGCTATCAAGCTAATGTAGAAAGAAGAAGATATTTAAACAGATACATGGGTTTCTGATATATTTTAAAATTTGAAACCCTAAAATACCAATAAAAATGGAATTCCTTGTATGATTAGTAAATTTTTCTACGCATTGTGCCAACTTTCAACATTCAGATGTAGGTGCTAAAGGCACACTTATATATTTGAAAGGAGCAAACACGCGCACAGACACCCAATTTTGAGTATACAAATAAGACACATACATAAACCCAAAAATATCAGACATGAATACATGTGTGCGTCATATATTTTCTAGTTATTGCATGAATAGAATTTGAAAGGCACAATTCCATCTCATTAACAAGGTCAGCAGAATGGCCTTTTTATGGATATCAGGAAAAGCTACCTTTCTGGTTGAGGCATACTACGCAAATGAGGCATACTACGCAAATGAGATGATAGGGAGTGCTACTCATGAATGATTTGAACAACATATGTCCCACATATTCCATTTAAAAAAGGGCAGCCAGAGATGCTCTGTAGAATAATAATGCACTTAATTGACATATATAACAGATTCAAGGAGACGGTTGCTTGCAAACCTTGATGGCATCATCGAATCTTGTAGATAATTCTGATCGTAAATGCTGACCTTCCATTGAGACTTTCTTGCATTCATCCTGAACAAGGCAATCAAAAGCCTCATGTTTTGTTGGTTTCGCAGTGATCTAGATTTATTAGAGAGAAGAAATGGACTTCATAAGATACTAAAATACAAGTGCATTAACAACACTTTCAAAAATGCCAATACCATCAGTTAATCATCCAACCCTTCAGGAAAATTAATGTTTTCAAGTGGAAAGCTATGGGAAATGGTTCTAACATTCAAGGCCTTGATCGGATGACTGTACAACTTCACCGAGGAAAGGAACTATTCATAAATGAGGAAAGAAAAGTTAATTGTTTCTGCAGGGTTATGACATCATGGCGGGGCTTTGTTGATGAGAGAAGTTGCAAAAGTCCATCACCAAGGAATAGTGGAGCGGACCAAGCTGGCCATTTTTCGGATATGATAGTCAAGAAACTAGGCAGAGAGGCATCTCAATTAACTTCAATAGAAAAAATTAATTAATGTATTCTATTATGCTGTAACTTCCAACAGCATTCGAGGTTGGCTTCAAAGAAGCTGATAAAAAAGAGGCTCCAGATCTATATCTAAATTCCAGCCAGATTTTAGAAACACCACACAGCCTGAAGTTTGAGGACACACCAAGATCATATAGAACAAATGGATTTTGGAAAGTTCTGGAAGGGAAGGATAAACAACAATAAAGCTTTTTACAATGGACATCTACCCTAGCAAACACATGATTGAACTAGTAGTTTGCATAATAGGTCTCTGTTGGGGTTATGTGGCCATTTAAAGGACTTTTGAGAGCATGTAAAACTATGACTATAGTGATGTGATACTCCAATGATAGTATGGTCCAGAGGGACCAAAGGAGGCACTTTTACGCCATGACTCATCCGAGCTATGCCTGGGTTGATGTCTAAAACCCTTAACCCTGCGCATATGGCACAACCAAAGAGGATCATCCCTTGAAGAGGTTGGAGATGAAAGGAGTGGCTACGTAGAACTCAAGGTAATAAATTCAAAAAAAAAAATTTACTTCTATTCAATATACCTGAATCCCACCTACATGGGCCACTATATGTTACCGTAAAATTAAAATAATGCCCTAGATACAACCTATGATCTTTATTTTTACTATCAAAATAAATAGAAAATCTTGGAGCTTAAAACAAACTTCCACTATAATTTTTAGCATAAAAAATGTTCCTGAAAATTCACAAAGACTAAGAAATAATACTAAAATTAATTAAAACTACTGGGAAGACTTACTAAAAGAGGCCTGGAGTTACCCTCACAGGTCTTCGTAGTACCCCACACCCAATTCCTAACCAATGATGCACGTTTACCCCCTTTATGCTTAAAAAAAAAGTCGTGCCTCCCTAGGGGGTAATATGGGCCCCAGATGGGTGGCACACACATGTGGAGGCTGGATCCTTGGTCCCCACATGTACTTTGTAGAGTTTTGATATTTCAAAAATACCCTTTTGATGAATATTAAAGCAGAAATAATATTTTAAAATTCTGAAAATCTTTAAAAATCATAAAAATATTTATAATATCAAAATAAAATATACTGAGAGTGGACTGGTACCAGTGCGCCAAAATTTGCGACAATAAGGGCACTTCATTCACCCCAGAAACCATGATCCATAATTGTTTTCTTATACAACCATGACCCACTGTTTCATTTTAGAGGCTCATGATTGGCTTGTCGAAGTCGAACAATAAACAATGAGATCATGATCCAAATGGGGATTTTAGTTCCCCCCTTTGAGATCAAGTCAAACACTTGTCACCACAATACAAATGGGGCTCTCTCTATGCAAATGTACACATGTCCCTTTATAGGGCTGTTAACAACTAATACGGTTGTCATGTGTACATACCGTGCGAAAGTTTGTTGAGACATTAGCCATTGCTCTCACAGGCCTACAACCGCACATAGGAGATCACACAGTTCTCATGTCCTACAATCATCAACTTTGGGCATCTCCCAACCTCAACAAGGGATGATCCACTGCATACCCTTCTCGATTGTACCACACGCCAGGGGTAAGGGTTTTGAACACGACCAGGGCCATAAACTGCCCAACCCTTGATTAGTCATTACACACACTCCCACTGAAGTGCATATTCCATTATAAAATATCATATTTACAAGCTCTCTAGGCCTTTAAAGGCCAAAAAACTCAATAGGAGAGATGCCCAGGGTGGTTAACCAAGGGACTGTGTTACACTTGTGTGCAGTTGACTGGCCTAAGAGAATAAGGGCCAAAATCCTTATCATGGCCAATGCACGACATGTAAACTAGACAGTCGTCCTAGGAAGCAGCCCGTTGGGGCATGTCGCATAGATGTGCTTAAGAGATGACTCCTTGCACCACTAAGATAATGTGATAAGGTACAATGGGATAGTGTGCAAAATGGGACTTGGAATTTTCCTCGAGGGGTGAACCTGAAATCCATGGATACTTCACATAGAGCGAGAGAGAGAGAAGCATGCTCAAGTTTTTGTCCTTTTTGTTGTTTCCCTGTTGGGTACATTAGCTTCCACCACGCTCCAGGGATTTGCTGGTTGGGCATATACTAACAGCCCTAGGTCATCCATATGGTTGGACATATACTAACGGCCCTAGGCCATTCATATGAGAAGTGTTTGTTACTCTAACGTTTGTATTTAAAACCACAAAAAAGGAGGCAGAAGGACAACTACCATTAGAGTTGTTCTCTCAGTGTGTGAGAAGAAGAAGAAAGAGAAACCAAGGGAAGTGAGAAACATGAGAATGGAGGTATGAAACTCAGTTTCCATTGGCAAAATTTTATTTTGTAATGCATAGTCGAACAAGAATCCAAGAATGTGAAACAAAAGAGGACATCAAACATGAGATAAGAGAGACATCACGTAAGAGAGGAGATAGAGAGATTGTGCATGCAATAAAATATAAAAAAAGATCACTCACATGCAAACCCAAAGGAGTAGAAATCTCCATAAAAGCGATGATGAAGAGAGAGAGAGAGAGAATAACACAATTGTGAAGATGGATACTGCTTCATTCCCTACAAGTTAGAGAGAAATCCTCAACCGATTCTCCTCCTAGTTCTTCTACCATGAAATCTTGATGGAATCTCATTGGCAATAATATCGAGAAAAAAGTATATATAATACAGAGTTTGGGGTTGGTATAAATGCCATTAGGATACTGCACAGTTACAAGAGATTAAACATGCTGCAGTAATAATAATAAAAAACTCAAGCTATATTAAGAACAATTCTAATAGAAAACCGAGAATCAATTCATCCTACTATGACTCTTTCACTCTCATGTGATTTCCACATGCAAGATGAGATAGCAACAAGTAAGATATCAAGTCATGATCTACAAAGTATATTTTAGCACACAGAACGATAATTCGTATCGAAAAACCAGCAACATGATCTACAACAAAGCATAAAGTAAACCGAGTCCCGCATTTTTTGTAACTCAACACAACCTATGAATACCTTAACAAGAACTGAAAATTCTCATGAAAAAAAGGTATTGAATACAATTGTACCAGTCATAGAAAAATAAAAAAGTGACAGGAAACTCGGATTCTTTTATCCATAAGCAGTGAAATATTAACTATCAACAAAGCAGGCCATAGAATTGGGCCTGGGGTCGAGTGTTAAGCAATTGATGTTAGCAATGCTACATCTCAAGTTCAATTCCTACCACTGAGCATCCCAACAAAAAACAATGGCCATAAATTTCCTAAAAAACAATAACACAAGGCACCAAACAAATACATAGCAAAAAGAATTTACCATGAGCATCTTGTTTTGGCGTTGTAGCTCCCTGCACAAGGATTCGAGCTTTTCTCTCACAGCAATAGCTAAAGAAATAAAATACCTAGTACTTTAATTAAAATGTGTGCAGAATCAAGGAAGCAACATATAAAAAATTTAATACTAAACAAGATGGGCGTCAATCAAATTTTCACAAGGCTATCACTTTAATTCAAGAATACAGAAAGTCGATTATGTAGAGATTTTCCTAATCATCATGGTATGAATAAATTCATGTTCTCGTTGAAAAAGTGAATCTCAAGCAGAGCCAAATTTCATGCTGTACATGTATTCAATTTTCAAAGAAGGAAATTTATAAGATTGAAAAAATTTCATAGGAAATGCAGGTAACCTTCTACCACGTGCTACATAATTATCAAAATGCCACCAATTATCCGAAATATAGGGAGTAAGAGAAAGGGAGAAGACTAAATACCAAGATCTGTTGGCTTGTGAAATCAAAACACATGATTTTTCCAAGATCTAAGGAGTCTGCAAATGTTATAATAAGTGAATTGTCCCCACCCAAAAATGTTTGTATAGGGAGACTTCTTTTTTTTTTATCAGTAGAGAGCACTTGGACACTCAAGAGAATGCCCGGACATAATAAATCTGTTCCACCATAGCTTGAACACCCCTTTACAATGTCTTACTCCCAACTGTCACTGATACTCTTACTTAAGAAAAAGGTTCACCATCCTTATTGTCCCATATGTTGGCATGTTGTGGCCATTTATAGGCCTTTTGAGAGCATGTGAAACTATGATTATAGTGATATAATGGCTCCAATGGGAGTAGGGTCCATGGGCTCAATAGGGCATGTTTTGTCATGTTGTGACTCACCCAGATTTGCTAAGCTAGGCCTGGAATGGAGTCTAAAAACCCTCTAGCCCTGAGCATAAGGCACAAAAGTGAAGGATTTGCAGGGTTAGGCTTTGAGGAGGTCGGAGAGATGCCTAGGGTGGTTTGTTGCCAAGAGACCTCGTGACCATGTGTACAGTTGGCGGGCCCGAGAGGACTAGGGCCAAATTATCATCATTGCCATCGCACAGCATGAACACATGATAGTCGTCTTTGGGAAGCAAACCCTAAGGGAATGACGTGTACATGTGCAAAAGCGATGACCCCCAGCATTATAGGGAGTGACTTTGGGTGTCAATCTTGCATGGTTTCCTAGACATGTATGTATAGGTGTTGGGTTTTTGTGACCTTTAAGGACCTAGAGAGCTTGTAAAAATGATATATAATAACATATACACTGCAGCGAGGGTGTGTTGACTAACTAAGGTTGGGCGGTTTATGGCCCTAGACATGTCCAAAACCCTTAGCCTTGGGCATGTAGCACTACCGAGAAGGGTTTGGAGTGGGTCATCCCTTGTTGAGGTCGGAGAGATGCCTAGGGATAATGTTTGTAGGCCAGGAGAACTGTGTAGCCTCCTGCATGCTGTTGTAGGCCTATGAAAGCAAGGACCAATGCCTCAACAAATTTTCATACGGCATGTACACATGACAACCGCATTACTGAGAAGCAACGCTATAAAGGAACACGCATACATGTGCATAGAGAGAGCCCCCTTTGCACTGTGGTGACAAGCGCTAGACTTGCTCTTAAAAGGGGGGGAATTGAAATCCACATTCCAAAATCATGATCTCACTGTTTCTTGTCCAACTTTCACAAGCCAATCATGAGCCCCAAAAATGAGACTATGGATCTTGGGTCTTGTTGGGTTCGATAAGAAGACAACACTGGATTATAATTTCTAGGGCGAGTGGAGTACCCTTAATGTCGCTAATTTTGACCCATTGGTACCAATCCACTTCTAGTATATTTTTTTTGGTATTAGAAATGATTCTATGAGTTTTAAATATTTTTTATAATTTTAAAATATTATTTCTGCTATAATTGTTTTTGTTAAAAGGGTATTTTTGAAATTTCAGTACTGTAAATGATACATGTGGGACCAAGGATCTAGCCCCACATGTGTGTTTCTTTTATGAGTAGAGTCTGGTGGGACTGATTGGGTATGATTTGTCAATCCCGTGACTCACCTAGGTTGGACGAGCTAGACCTGGGATGGAGTCTGAAAAACCTGTAGCCCATGGCATAAGGCACAACCATTGAGGGTTTATAGGGTTAGCCCTTGATGAGGTTCGAAGAGATGCTCAGTGTGGTTTGTTCGCCAAGCAACTTTGTGACCCCTATCTATGGTTGGTAGTCCTGAGAGGACAAGGGTCAAATCCTCATCATTGCCATCGCACAACATATATACATGATAACCCTCTTTTAGAAGCAACCCATAAGGGTATTTTGTGCACATGTGTACAAGAGATGACCCCCAGCACCATTGCAATAGTGTGCGTATGTCCAGTGGGACACAACACGTCCTCAAGAGGTAACTTGGTATCTATAGACTAGAACCATGTTATCTTAAATTATTGACAAACTTTAATGGACCAATCATGAACCCTTGCGATGGGTTGTGGTTCATGGATTTTATTGGGTTGGTTTGAGAGGGTGATTGTAGCTCACAGTTGCTAGTATAGGCCGAGTCCCTCAATTAAATTGCATGATTCTTGACATGATGGATCCAATTCAAAATGAATGTATAAAATGCTCTACATATTTTATTTTCTCAAAATGATTTTTTACTTGGCTAAAAATTTATTTTTAGCCTTTGTTTTATGAATGCAAAGCTATTCTAAAAGCATTGTATGGTCTTTAAAAATTATTTTAAGAATTTTAAAATTTGTTTGGGGGTGTGGGGGCCCTTATGGAGTAGGGCCTACCACATGGGAGACTCACCAAAGTGAGGCGTGGGGTCCACAAGGGTCCCACATGCCTCCCATGCCCCACATTCCATTCCCTCACTCTCTGACTTGTTGGTCAAGTCTTCTAGAAAGAAGAATAAATTTTGGAAAATATTTTGATTGAATATTGAGAGAGAGGAAAGGACGATTCAGTGTTTTTACGGTAAGTCATTCCATATTTGGAGATTTTATGAGACACATGCTATATTTTCATAAAATCTAATATAAGATGGGAATGGATCCAGGAAACTGAGGGATAAGCATTCTATAACCTTTCCTCATGATGGCTGATTTATGGAATGGATGGTTGATATCTCTTCACTCCATAGAACTCCTTAGATAAAAGTCAAGATTAAGTCTCATTATAACGGCAAACCCTAGACCCTATAAACTCTAATTAGAAGCCATAAATGCCCCATTGGGGGTAGCCTTTACACACTCTTTCTAGACCTATTTTTCTCTCTCCTAGGGTTCCACGTGACCCTCTCTCCACTCTCTTTCTCTCTCCCCTTCTCTACAATAGACAAAGAAAGGGGTGCCATGCCCCAAGCATTTAAGGGTTTTGCCTTGGCTTCTCATTTTCTGAGATAGAGAGAGACCTAGATCATGTGCGCCATCGGTGTTGGAGATCTTGGTTGGGATGTACTAAGTCCTTGGAGATGATCCAAGGTAAGGTAATATGGTATTTTATGGTTCCATGTTTCTTGATTCACTCTTGTGCAGTGTATCTTTTGATTTTTATTTAATAAGAGAGTTTTTTTTATGGCATGCAAGTGAAGATACTTTTTTTCAAAAAAAGATCCTCGAGGGTATTATGGTCTTGTTCTATGATTTTTGAGTTGTAATCAGCGCTTGTAAGTGGTCTAGTAGGCATAAATAAAACAAAGTTTGAAAAAATTTTAACTATAAATACTTGGCCAGAACCACATTGCCTCCTTTTACCATATCCACAGCCATTAGCACTGATCCAAAATGAATTGGAATCAAATTTTGGTTCCTGAGTTTTAGTTTTAATCATGTATATCTTCCATGATTCATCATTCCATAAAGGCATCCATTTGTCATGTAAAGTCTCAAAGATGTTCAAATTCATCAAACATTAATATACTTTTCACATTGAAATACAGATTTTGGGTCTCGTACCCTTTTTATAGGTTACTACATGATGAATATACTAGTTAACCTTCATAGGGAAAAAAACCAAAAAAAAACATTATATATCATTCATGACGAAGGGGCCTGGATGATGTCAAAGATCAACAAGTCTGTCACTAAAGAGAAAAAAAAAAAGTGATTATAGTCAATGTTTTGGAATATGCACGACAAAAATATGCCTTCTAGTGTTAGTCTGAATCTAGGAACCTTCACATCACACCCCAAACAAATGAAAACTCTTATGTAATAGTGCATAATCCAAAGAAAACAAAAAATGCCAATAAAGAGAAACATTATATAAAAAGAATTTAGTAGCAAAGTGGTATTTACCTGTATCTCTTTCCGCAATAGCTTGTTGATACTTCCAAGCAAGCTCAATAGACTCCTTTTCAGACCTTGAGTTGTGCTTTCCATTATTGCTTTTAGATTTGCACGTGTTCTCATAGGATGAAAAGATGGAATATCAAGGCAAGATCAATGGAGTACTAAATATGAACTCATTACCAATTACAATAATATAGCAAGGGTATTTAGTAAACCCAAAAACAATAAAAAAAAATGAAAAATTCATAGCGAATTTTTTTAACTAAAAACAAGGTATTTTTAGAATACCTTTCAAAGACCATTTGAGAGAGAGAGATATGGGGTGTTGCCCACAGCGTCAAGGGAGGATTCGAACCCAAGACCCTCACGCACATAAACAACACACCACCATGATGCAAATTAAACCATCAAAGTATAGCGAAATTTTACACTACAAAAGATACTCGATGACTAAGTATTAGAAGTGAAACATGAAAAAATTCTACAGGTCTCTCAAGGGATCCATTATTTTTACACCTCACCTTGTAAACCCATTTGAAATATATGGGTTCAACTCCATCAGATAATGGCACTAAGGCCCATGCTTCTTGTTTGGATCCTAAGCCCTACGCTTCTTCTTGTAAGAGTAGATCTCTTCCCTCATGGCATTTTGCTATACAATATAACCCTTAGGTTCATTATACAAACTAGGTACTAAGATCTCTACCTTGCATTTTGTGTCCTTTAAAGGCCTTAGCTCTTAAATTTAACTTGACTCTACTTTTCTAAATTCTAAATTTACTCAGATATATGGACTCTACTTATTTTTATTTTTAAATGCATTATAACCTCTTGGTAAGCCAACCATGGTCAAACTGCCCCCAACTTGCAAAGGATGGCGCAGCAGATTTTTAACTTGACTTGTACATTGTCCGGCTGCTAACGCAACTTCAACACATTCGAGATGGTGAATATTCTATTTACCCTCATCTCCGATCAATTTATTTCAACAACTTTTTCCATACTTTTTCTTAAGTAAAGAATTGTAATAGGGCAATGATGTACTATGAAACACATACAAAGAAGAGGAATAGACTCGAGCAGAAGAGATTCAACAAACGTGTTTTCGTTCAGTACAATCAAAGGCTGAAGGGGCGCCATCAAGAGCGCTTTCAAATTGAAGTCTCCATAATTGTGAAAGATTTAGATCCAACAAGCGAATGGTTGGTCGAGGACGATGCCGAGGATGAGCATGTATTCAAGGGAGAGAGCTTGACAAGGCGCCAAGTGCAAGAGGAAGCTGGTTTGGCATCAAGCCCTATGAAAGCTACTAGATCCCAAACACAGAGAAAGGGGAAGGAAGTGGCCCAGGAAAAGGGAAAGGGGAAGGGGAAGAAGAAGGTGCAGACGAATAGGAGGATGACAATCTTAGAGGAGAAGGATGCAGACTCAGAGGAGACAAGGGAAAAAGTTTTTAGGTAGAGGAAGAGGATGAACACTAATGATGATGGCTTGGCATCATCATCAGATTCAGATGCATTGGATGTCGAACATCAACCTCATGTTGCTAGTGATAATGAAAACTCAACCTCATCATGTTCATCATACTTGTGGGGTGAAGAAGATTACTTTTTGTAGTTTATGGCCTCTGATTGACATGTGTGAGTTTTTGTTTTATGTCTAATGATTATCTGTTGTGACTTGTGACTTGTGACTTGTGACTTGTGACTTGTGAGATTTAATGGACATCTCAAGTTTCTTTTATCTTTTAATGTTACTTTTGAGTTTTAACTATATTTGATCTGTACTTCTAACTTTTGAACAATATATTATATACAAAACTTACTTAGGAAATAAAAAATTTCAATTCTATACAAAATAAAAAGGGGGGAGGTGTGGGGGTCCAACAATCCTCAAGGATCTGTCCCTCCCCCCAACGCAGGCCGCCTTTGTGTCTAGGCACCCGCCCAGACCCTTGGCAGCCTAAGCGGCCGCATCCGCCTTCTTGAACATTGTTACCCATGTTATCAGTGTAATAAAAATGCACATCCTTAATTGTTGGAATCAAAAGAGGAATTGGGATCAGGATCGGGATCGAGATCGAGATCGAGATTGAGATCGGGAGCGGGACATTGTGAATGGATAGATCCCTATGGTTGGGAGCATCATCCATAAAATATAAACAATAGGGATTGAGGTCCCCAATGTTAAGGATCGAACCTTTTGACGATCAGGACCTCGACCTTTCGGGCTCTCGACCCAACCTTTTGGGGATCTTGCTAGCAATTTTAAAGAGTATACATAGTCTAGAACAATATATACTCTTCAAAGTTGAGATCATTTTATTTACACCGGCAAGCTACGCAATGATATTAAAAATATAGTAAGTTGCATTGTTACCTGGCTATAAATAAAAGAAATTATTGAAACGAGGCTATATAGAATTCTTAGGCTATAAATTCAAAAAAATTCTTTCTTTCTTTTAGTAATTGCCGAAAATTCTACCTACAGGTGCACAAATACAATAAATTCAGCCTAATACAATCTAGGATCTTTATAATCTTGTTGCCAAAATAAACTTTATTCAACTGAAAACAATATTGAGACTTTACAAATAAAAAATAAGTCAAAAACATATTCAAGTAAAAACTAAATAAGAAAGGCAAGATTTACTAGCTTTTGCCTAGGGTTACCCCACTAAAGCTTAGCAAACCTCAAACCGGATCACGTGGCCAATGGCGCACTTAAATTTCGAATGTTGTTGACCTCTCAAATCTAAATTTTGGAAGCACCTCTGGGTTACCCTTAATGAATTTTATTTGGGGCTAGAGAGCAACGACGGTTTCGCAAAGAAGACCCTTTAAAACTAGGGCAAACTACAAAGGCACAAACCCTAAGTCTAGGTCTAGCATGCCCCTCCCCTCTCTCTCTAGATTACCTTGGACCCTTAGGGAGGGTGGCGTGGCCCTACTAGAGAGAGGGAACTAGGGAGAAGCCTAGAAAGAGAGATGAGAGAGAAGTTTAGAGAGGGGTGTAAGAGAGAGAAGGAGAAGAGAGAATAGAGATGTGTGAAGATTGAGGGGGAGAACCCCCTTATATATAAACCACTGGGGCCTAGGGTGTCCCAATCAAATTAGGAGTTTAACTTGATCTAGAATTATTTAGGAGATCTACAAAGTGAGAGAAAAATTAATTTGAGCCATTCATCTCCAAGATCAGCCATCATGACCTAGATTGGATCTGTAGGAACCTTATCCTCTGAGATTAGACCCATGTCCACTTCTAATCCATCTAGAACTTTGACTAGTCAAATCTTATCTAAACAATCAAAGATAAATAAGGAATCCTATCCTCTCACAGAGATATTTAGGGCCTCTAATTAAATTATGACTTCGTCCAATATTCTAGAAAATAAGAAAATCACTAAGATAATCTTATCCAAAATATTTCCAATAAGAAAATATTTTATAACTTAAAACATTATTTTTTATTTTAAATATTAAAACAAGTGGCACAAAAAGTGGGTGCCCCACTTAGTGGGACGTATGGGCCCTGATAGGCTCCATGTGATGCCCTAATGTGGGTTCAACATGTGTGAGGCTGGGCCCTTTAGCCCAAAGTCCCACACAAAATATCGAAATTTACAGATATACCCTCATATTTTTAAATGTTCAGAAATACTCTTTTAGGGTTTTTACAAATTAAAATTCATTTTTCAAATTCCAAAAAAAATCCAATAATCATAAAAACATATTTTAAGTTGAAGAAAATATTTCTAGAGTTTCATAAAATTCCAAAACACACAGAGATACAACTTAGAAGTGGATAAGTACCTAATGGATAAAAAACAAGCGAATGTCATGGCACTTCACGTATGCTATGATCCATAATCCACTACTGTCTTCTCAAACTAACCCAACAGGACCCATGACCCACAATCAAGTGCAGGGGCTCATGATTGACCCATCAAAGTTAGCCGATAACTAGGAATTCACATAAGAGCTTTACAAGATCCATCCATCAAAGCCATCAAAACCTACTCCTGTGATTAATGATCTATTACCACAAATTATAAAAGTTGTAGAACAACATTTTCACGATAGGAATTTTCAACATACACCAGGTTTGTTCCATAGTTGTGGACCTGAGAAATACTTGCAGAAGAAACAATGGAAGTTAAAAACATTTAGCAATGGCTGCCTTTTCTGCTCGTCGACACGCTGCGTTTCTTGCTCGTCGGACTCCCTTGGCGGTCGGCTATTCCAATAAGACTATTGAGTCGTCTTGGCTGAAAGGTAGAGTAGGAGGAGATCAAAGAAGGAATCTGCCCTTCTTTAGACGTAGAGGTAGCTGCAGTTCGAAAACCTCTACTTTCTTCAATTGGGAGGCCATTTACAACCTCTATTCTCGTCCATCCTTCAACAGTTTGGATCTCCTCGCCCCCAGATTGTCAAGCTTATTCTCAGCCTGTGGGCCCTGCTTCATTTCCTCATATAGCTGCCTCCTTCCCTCCCTCTCCCCCCGTTCCTCCACCCTCTCTTTCCACCCTAAGGATCCTTGAAGCTTCGTCCCCCTCTAGCCAATCCCTTTTCATTGATATCTCGGATTCGGTTTCTCGCCCCCTCTCAGCCAAGTTACAAGCATCACTGGCGGGGTTCTTTATCCCTCAGAGTAATGACATAAGGGGCATTGAAAAATGGGCTCAGAAAACTTGGGGGGAAGCTAATATCTCTTGCAGAACTCTATCGTCGGGAGGTATCCTCTTCTCCTTCCCCTCTCTGGATCTAACCCAGAAAGCGTTGCAAAACCAGGCCAACCTGATCTTCAAAAGGGCCAAGTAGTCTCTCAAAAGTTGGTTCCCCAAATTGGATCCTCTGCGCCTCAAAAACTTTGGGTCACCTTCAACAATATCCCCCTCCATGCCTGGTCCCCTGTTACCTTCAGGAAACTGGCTGGAGAGTGTGGCAGATTGATCCCGATTCACTGGAAATCTTTGGAGTTTCTGCCTATGGGGTCGATGTAAGTGTTGCTGGAAACCCCTGATCCTTCCTTGCTTCCCCCTAAGATTTGGATTACGGTAGATAGCGCCTTCTACCCTATAGAAGTTCGCTGGTCTGCGGACTCGTGGGATCCCAC